AATTAATAAAATTGATCTCACTTGCAAGGATCATGGCTTTGATGTAAAAGTATTATTGCCGCCAAAAAATCGTTAAGCGCCTTGCATTAATGATTCGCACTTTTTCTCTGTTGTCATATCTTCCGTGATAGCCTGAAACACCATCCGAGAGGAGGGTGTTTCAGTAACTTTCGTGGCATCATACTCTAGGAAAGTGACATTCACTGACATACTCTCCGACATCAATGACATGTTTACACTCCTGATATTTTTACCTACATATCGCCCTCTACGTCAAATTGAATTGTATCTACTACTAGTTATCCTGAGACGAAGCAACCCGGAGACAAAGTCAACAAGGGCTGAATGGGGTATCCAAAGTCCCCTTGTAAGCTCAAAATGTGTGTCGCTTCACTATCTATCTTTGTTGTTTGCTTTCGAACAGATTTATCCTGCGGAAGGCCACCACGGGTGTCCAACGCTCGACCTCAGTACCCAGCCACTAATTTCAGTTCCGTTGTTACTTACATTTGTAACGAGGGTCACACATTGTCCGGGGCAGCCAAGAAAACTTGTCGGGCAAATGGCAGGTGGGACGGCGTGGCACCCAACTGCTGTGAGTATCGACTAGCATGGTGTGTCCTCATTGATTTTGCTACCTCGAAATTAATGTTTTTTCCATTATTTCCTTTCAGTAAAAATGTGTTCTTTACCAACAATTCCATTTTCTAAGTACATCGCAAAGCCCGTTAATTACACCCGGAAATACAGGACCGGTGAGAGAATAACTTTGGCCTGCAAAAAAGGGTTTAAAAAGAAACCGGGCGGTAATCCTGTAAGAATCTGCATCAGCGGGTTGTGGACTCGATTTCCGTTTCAGTGCGAAGGTAAGGTCGACTGAAAATCGTATCTCCGCAAGGCAATTTAGTATTATCAACTCAGTTGATAATAGCAAATTACCTTCTTATACTCTCTCACCGACGCAGCACCACAGTTTCTTTAGAAACAACCACAATTTCTTTAGAAACAAGCCCATTTATTATTATCTCCACAATTGGTACAGACAGATTAATTAATCTTTGATTCAAATGAAAAAAAAAAAATCTCTCTCTTCTTTGGCTGACAAATACCAAAATGAGAACAAGAACCCGAAAAAGAACTGATCAATCATCAGACAGAAAATCTGTCTGATGATTGCGTAAGCGTGAAACTCAGAGTCACAGAAAAGTTATGTCTTACTGATTTGTCCAACCTCCAGATATACCACGCTCTGCGAACGCATCGAGCACTATACCGCAAGGATAGACTATGATCAAGATTTATTATATATGTTTTTATTTATTTTATTTTTTTTTTATGTTTTCAATTTTTTTTTTATTGATGTATTATATGTTCCTATCAAGTAACTGGATCATGTGTGTGGACATGCATTTAGGTACCCACGGGTGTAAAAGAACCATTCGAGCCCCTAGAACTAAATGTACACAGAAGTGTAGTCCTCAAAGTGGGTGTGGTTCAGATAAGTACAAGTGTCTTTGTGATGGAAGTTGTGGGTTCAGCTGCGTGGAAATAGGTAAGTTATAACTTTGTATTCAGGTAAAAGAAAATAGCCTGGTTTTTCCTACAGTCAGTTAAGAGGCAACCCCCAAATGACTATGAAGTCGCTTAGGTGACTTTAGAGGTGTGTCAGTCCACGGTTAGACAAGGAGGTCGGTCGTGAAAGTTGGAAAAAAATGAAGATAGAAACTGCGGTTTTGCTTTATGTTGAGAGCTTCAGGAGAATCCCACATTCTTTTGTTTTTAGAATCATTTAACGACTGAATAAAAATGGAAAGTTACCATTGATCAGCTAATTTGAGGTGACGAAATGGTGTGAAACGTTTTGGACGTTCAGGCGCAAAGAATGGTTAACAAAGAACAGTGATCGGTCCCAAAGAAAAACGATTATAATTCTTATCTATGGTTTGTTGAATGTCTGAGCTGGAAAAATTTATTTGTTATTTAAATTTGCCAATAAATATGCACGTGAATCTGGAGAATCTGTAGGAAGTCCGAAGGGTCATTAGCATAAAAATATGAAGAGGTAAATTGTTCCAAAACTCCTGCTTCGTTTGTCAGAGAGGAACGTACGTTGATTGTTTCGACATGGAAAGGAGTGAGGTGTTTATCGAATGTAAGATTATTAGGTCATTTTCAGATTAAGAACCTTTGAAGTTTTAATTTGTGTGATGATTGGTACTCTTCTGAGCTCTGTCATTATTTTCTCTGCAATACGCCACTCGCCATTAGGGTCAGTTACTTACACAGGTTATCTGAATTAGCCGTTCCACTTTTGTGGCATTCTGTCTACACGTTCGGTGTCTGTATTTACGCGGGCTTTGTATCGCATTAATGTTAGCTGAACAGAACTAATGCATAGAACTGAATGATTTATCGTTTCGTATGTTTTTTGGTCCAATACAATCAAACAGGTATGTCTTGTGGAAATCCACCGTCAATCAGCAATGGCAACGTCGTTTATAATGACACAAGTTTTAACTCAACCGCTCATTACACCTGCAATGGAGGATACAGTTTGAATACAGCTCCAGTCAAGAGATGCAGTGCTAAGAAACGCTGGGAAGGCCTCACTCCTAGATGCTGTGAGTAGACTTTTACAATGGGAAGTTCGTGTAGGCTAAATTATTGATCCATCCTGGGAAGGGAGGGGGTACTACCTTGTTTAGGCCTTACGGCTACATGCTGTAGTATAATATTGGGATAAATGAGTCATAGGTATAGGGTATGTAATTTAACCTCAAACAAAACCTTTTCTCTGAGTCACAGAACTAAACTGTTATTGAACGTTAGTGATTTGGGTTCTATGTAGTTTCAAATTTAGACCTCCACCATAGCAGCAGGCTTGATTACTGTTCCTTTAAATGCATGTGTTAGAGCCTTCCTGACCTTGCTTTTGAGAGAAAATTGGATTGTCTTAACGAATGTTAACGAGACCAACATGGGTGGGCTAATTAACATGCATACAAACGGATAAAGTGCTTAGCCAGAAGGCATAACGAAGAAATTAAGAGAGACGTAAGCAAGTAAGCCTTGATTTTTATTCTGAAAAGACAGTCCGAAAATCGAAACGCCCCTCTTGTCCATTGCAACTGAGCCAGAAAGATGATCATCGGATTTGGACGCTTCCGTCCCGAATTTGCATGCATTCCACCACAGCGCCGTCCGATTTGGCACAGATGGCTTTGAATGGGATTCATAGATTCTCCTTTAGACTGATCATCTTTTCTTGTTAATTTTTTTAGTGCAAGACTGCAAACCCCCAACTATTCCTATAAACGCGAGGATTTCAAATCCGAGCAATAAATACCATTCTGGTTATAAAGTCACATTCAAATGTAATGAAGGTTACAACCAAGAAGGGATGGAGACTCAAATGTGTTTCCGTGGTTCGTGGACCGTGTTGCCTTTCAAATGTACAGGTGGGTCATTTCTGTACAGTCTGGTAGTCTCTCATATTCAGGGCTTATCTCTACGAACCGCGAACCGAAGTATGTTTCGGAATCTGTCAAAGGCGACGTCAACTTCAAAACAATTTACAAAGCATCAATTAGTCTACTATGAAAAAAGGTAAAATTTGAGATTAAAGATAGGCCTCAGTTTCAGAGCTCGCCCACACATTCTGCGCGCGAGTTGTTATGATCATCTCTCTAAATGCAACTTTTGTGCAGATTTAGCAGATTGGAGATAGAGTATTGAGAGCCACTTTTTTAATGAAATTATTTTTTTTTGTCTCTGTGACACCTTAATATACAAACTTTATTAATCCTTTAAATGCCAACAACCAAGACTAATGTATCATTGTAGTTTTGCCCAGGATTTCTCCTAGTTACGCTACTTCCCCGTGGACTTGTGGATTTATTTCCGTGTGTGACGATTATTTTGGTCTCAGGGCACATCTATCGTAGAATTTAGACCTCGTCCCTGGGTATGGACTGTAATGGTAGAATATCTCGACCTTAGATTTGTTGCCAGACCATCCCGGTAGTTACAGTTATTGAATCTTTTCGCTTTTTATAAGCAGCATGACTCTTTGTGTCTCTTTTATGACAGAGGGAGGATGTGGAGACAGCAGTAGAGAGATCGTGTAAAGACAGGGTTTAACTGAGATTAATTGGAAAAAAGGGGATTAACCAGCATGAGAAGATAAAAATTGATATTCCTTTTCCATTTCTCTTGGTTGTTGTGTAAATCACATCGATGTAAATTTTGTAACAAAAAAGATGGCTAAAGTTTTCATAATTCCCACCAAACGACGGAAGCTGAGGACGAAAAAAGTTCACTTTCTTTTCAATGTCTACATTGGGTGCCATATTTGTTGAAACCGAAAGTTATTTCTATTATGTCACATTAGACATTCCTATCAGGCATACTGAGAGGTATTTCATTTCAAAATATGAAATAAACTTGACGCGAGGTGAGCTGGTGCAGCGCTAAAATGCGTGAAACAATGAAGCGCCAGTGTTACTCGTGCGAAAATGTACGTGATTCGACCGGCACGTGGGAACAAGGAAATGAAAAAGCAGGAAACATGGTAGTTCAGAGAAGAAAATATGAGTTCCGTTAGGTATGCTTGAGATAACACTGAGGAGTGT